CCTCCCTCCCTCCCTCCTTCCTTCCTTCCTTCCTTCCTTCCTTCCTTCCTTCCTTCCTTCCTTCCTTTCCTCTCTCTCCCTCAGATGCTGCCTGTCTTTACGTGCCTGCTCTGGGGTTACAGATGCAGAGATCTGGGGTTACAGATGTGAGATCCTAACTCAGATCTCACGTGTGCCCAGCAGGCCCTTTGCTGACTGAGCCTCTCCCAGCCCCTGAATAAATGAAGTGTATAGAGGAACCTGCCAGGATAAAGGAATTCCCCATGAAGACTGTGACGGGAAAAGATGAAGCATGACTGTGACTAAAGAACACCAACTAAAAGGTAACACCACGGTGTGACCAGATATTGGTAAGGGAAAGCCCGCCCTTCACGTCCACCTCATGAAGAATCTCCCAAGACTCAGCCTGATGAAAACATAGTCAGTCCAAGGTGACCTGACATGTGACTTCACTAGAGAACTCTCAAGGCTGTAATTCCTTTTTTGAGCTGGTCATTTTTCTTAGTTCTTCTTTCTCTAAATCACCAGCTACCCCTTGGCTGCCTCCAAGGACATCGCTGCAAACATGGAAAACAGTGTGTTCCAACTGAGCTTTCAGGCAGCGATTTCAGCTACACATGCAACTGGAACGGTGGAAAAATAGACAAAGACCTTAACCCACAAAGGGAGGTTGGGTTAAGGATGTTTTCTACCACGAGAATGGGATAACTAGTTGATGAAATAATTAAATTATATGTAAACCAATTACTCTGTGGGGAGAAGAGGAAAAACAATTTTTTTCTTTCTCCCTGGAACCTCAGAAGGATTACCAGGATTGGCGATAACTCAAGCGATGAAACAAACTGCCGTCCACAGGGCAACATTTTCCTGAATAAAACGCCGCAATGAGGGTGCTGGGAAAGCCATGCTTGGAGCTAACGACTCGACCTCCTGATTTGTAACTGCATGTTCTGTCTGATGCCTCCAGTATCATTTAATGAGCTCGGCCCACCAGTAACAGCCCATCTACAGAGCCAGCCCCAGGAGGAGCCCACTCCCTGACTCACAGGAATTGCCCTGATTCAAACCACTCGAAACAGCTACTCTCGGGCTGCCTCCAGGCACTTCCATCATGGCTGCTTCAGCCACACTTCTCCAGCGATGGCTGTCCACTGAATGTCTGCCTCGGTGCAGAGGCACACTGCCGCTCATCTGCCCTTACTTCTGTCCAACCTTACATCACAAGACCCTCTCAGAGGCAACAACTCACCAACGGCTGACTACAGTTCACTGCAGTAAAACAACAGGATGCTGGATTTGGGAGACAGCTCAGTGACTGAAGTTCAAGAGCGAGGGGCTGAGTTTGATCCCTAGAGCTCATGCTAAGGAACCTGGTGTCATTATGTCGCTGTAATTTAAACACTGGGAAGGTACAGACAATCTAGCTAAACCAGCAAGCTCCAGGTTCTCAAAACCTAAGGTGGAGTGTGACACAGGAAGACATTTAAGACACAGACACAGACACAGACACACACACACACACACACACACACACACACGTGTGCACACACAAAATCGAAACTATCTGAATTCAAGGCAACACACCCAGGAATCGACAAGAGAGCAGCACTACTTCTAATCATGCTCGATTTGAAGGCAAAACTCTTTCGACACAGACTAATCTTTTTAGTGAACCAGCCACAGGCCACAAAATGAAGAGGCAGCAGAAAGAGACAGGGAAGACCTGCTGGCCTAGAACTTCTGAACACTAATGGATATTCGTGGAGAGCTCCTATACATCACTTTTCTTTAGAGATGAGACATAGAACAAAACAATTTGACATTGCTCCTGGTGATTTAGCCTTCTTTGAACTAAATAGGTTGTTCAGCTTCATCAGGAGGCTGGCGAATCAAAGCAGTATGAGTTCCTAAAAGTTCTAACTGGGTCAGGCTGTTTTTCAAGGTCCACAGCATGGAAGACTCATTGTACTTAAGGGAAGAGAAAGTGCTGGCAGATCCACGGACAGCGTGAAGAGGGTGAAGGGGAGAAAGGAGCCTACTGCCAACGCCATCGGGAGGTGCCAGGGAGGTGCAAATGCAGTCTGGGCTCTGTGGTGATGCTCTTTTCTTGAGAAAGAGCCTCAGC